ACCCTGTCCCTGTGATGCAGCACCACGCTGGTCTTCCAGCTGCTCCGGTGCCATCCTGAGAAATAGGGTCAGCACTGGCATCTCATTTATTTCCTGATGCTTGGCTTGCATCCTCCATCCCTCTGGAGAGGGGAGCTGTTTGCAAGAGCACTTTATTTTTATTGCTCTGATTAAGTTCTTTTGTTCTTCCGTGCAGGCCGCTTGGCCTAGCAGAGCCACAGCTGGGCTCTCCAGGAGAGGCCGTGTCTTAGCTTGGTTTCAGAAAGGTGCCTCCTCCTTGTGTCCACTGCTTTTGCATTTCTCTTGACCAGTTTCACAATAAAACTCTAACACACCTAACACTTGCGACAGCAAAGTTTGTTCACTGCGGTGCCTCTCATGACCTCAGAAGCATCACACAGCAACGGGCAGAGCAAAACTGTGTGCTCTAGGTGGACTGCAGTGCTGCTCAGCAACCTGTGCAATTATCAAAAAACATCCTTGCTCTGAGCATTCGGATACCAGTCTTGTTTCACTGGCTGTCAAAGACGATTCTGTTTCGAATCTCCCCAAAACATTACTAGAACATTAAGAAAGGTAAGGATAGCTCTTCCTTTTCAATATAAAAAGAATAGCTCAGGGTAAAATAATACTCATCACCTGGCACCAGGACTTTTACCTTCACTTGAAAAATCAGATTGCCTGAAGTGAAGGGATGCTTGGGAAGTGGGATGTAAAAAGAATGTTTTCACACAAATATGTTCTTCAAAAACCCATCCACATGCTGCAACTTTAAGCCCTCCAAAAATATTTTTACAGATCCTGATCTGTGGTCTCCCCAGAACAGGAATCTAACAATTCCCCATTTAACAATCCCCAGGCTCTAATTCAAATTGTAGTTTCTATCTAACAATTCCCAGGCTCTAATTCAAATTGTAGTTTCTCCCATAGCTCCTGTAGTCGCTAATTTAGTTTACAGAACTGGAAAGAAGGGGAGCACTGCCCATCAGTCAGAGCAAGACAGCATGAAACCAGAGTCAAACAGAATTCAGCCTGCCTTGCATCACATGCACAGCAATGAGGCCTCTCCCGAACACACGGTCTCTAGAAAATGAGCAGCAACTTGCGGCACACTGGGTGATGGAACCTACATAAAAAGGACAACCACAGCCCTCCTAAAGCAGGGAGCGGGTTTAAAGGAGCGAAAAGCTAGTTCACTGTGAAGCCACCTAGAGTTAGAGTGAACCACAGCACTTCCGAGGCAAGAGCAAGTCTTCTCCTTTAGAAACCAAAGCAGAAGGTTTTTCTTGGTTTGCTTTTAAGCACTTGTATATGAAGATGATCAAAAAGCCTGATTTGAACAGTCTGGTCAAGGTATTCAGGCAGAGGAACAAAATGCAAAGCTCAGGTAGCCAAGTCAGAGATGATACCAATTTGCCAATGCAATTTTAATGTACACTATGTTATTGACCTAGCATACAAGAGACTTAGACTAATTCTTAATGCTTCAACTCACTCAAAAAGAAATCATTTTCCCATTATTTGATTTTCCTTTGAAGGAAATAACTCAGAGATACAATTAGCTCCAGCTGCAGACTTCAAATCTTTGTCTGGCACCATTCTGAATGAAGAATATCTTCAACCAGAGTGAAATTGCTATAGCTATCCTGAATCTGCTACATGCAACTGCAATATTTCACATCAGCCGAGGATCTAGCTCTTCCTGCAGAAGTGAAAAAGGTGCATTCTCATCAGAAATAATAATGTTGCAGAACATAGTAGTATTTTGGATAGCATAAAATAAAATGACAAGCTCATAAGAAATGCATTTTTCTAATTGAGTTTAAGTCACTAAATAACTGTTGTCTTCTAATAGAGAACCAAATTCATGCTGGGTATTTATACTTTTATACATTAATTAGAAATACAATCATCACATGCATTTTATGCCTGTAGCTTCTCTCGCATATTGAAGTCACTTTATCTACAGAAGACAAGTTATGGCTGGCTTTCCTTTTGCAAGAATCAGAGGAACACTTCACTGGGGAAGGCAGGCTGGCTGCTGTCTTCTAATAGAGAACCAAATTCATGCTGGGTATTTATACTTTGATACATTAATTAGAAATACAATCATCACATGCATTTTATGCCTGTAGCTTCTCTCGCATATTGAAGTCACTTTATCTACAGAAGACAAGTTATGGCTGGCTTTCCTTTTGCAAGAATCAGAGGAACACTTCACTGGGGAAGGCAGGCTGGTATTGTCAAAACATGCCCTTATCTAAGAAGGCACAGATGAATAAATTCTGGAAGCCTTGATCACCAAGATGGAACTGCAAAAACCAGGAGACCCAGAGAACACGGTACAAGCTACTGCCATTGTGCTGGAGCACGGCATATTTTATGTGAGTACGTGGGATAGATAGCTCTTCAGCATAATATTCAGCAAAATCATTTATTTGAGATACAAGCTTCCAAATGTATCAAACTTGATTCATTTGGCCACATGAGAGTGCACCACATACACAGTAAAAGTAAATAAATAATAATAAAGCTAAATGAAAGGTTTTTAGCTAGACCTATCCAAAATTTAGCCTGTCAAATCTCACTCAACAGCTGAAAAGGCAGACATGCATGTTGCTGGTACTAGACATGACCAGTGGAAAGGCCAAGTGTGCTGAGCTCAGTCACTAGACACCAGCAGGCTACAACTGTTAAGTGCTTCTGTCTCTGCTTCACCTGCAGGGCCTCACTGGGCTGATCCTCATTACACACCTGAGGAGGGGAGATACTGGTGCTACCTTAACCCTTCAGTGCTAGTCACTCTTTTGGTGACTAAAGCCTTTGCTTGACACCTGTAAAATCACATTCAGATCCACTCCTCTGTCTGAACAGCAGCAAACATCTCCAAATTAAAGTTTTTATTTTGAAAAGAATTGAGTGAAACATGGGATTTCCCCTTCAGATCTCATCAGGGCCAAGGCAGAAAAGAGCAACCCCCCCTCTGTCCCTCATTACCAAATGTCTCCTAGACCACTCAAACTCCAAGCATCCAAAGCAGGTAAGATCTGCTTTTTCACACCCACTCTCCAAACAAACTTTCATACACAAAAACTTTTCTTTTGCCACCTTTCATGTCACAAATTCCAACAAAGACAATGAGTTTCTCTTCTTCAGTCACTATAACACAAAAGACCATGGAGATATTTCAGCATAGTCCTGCATAGCCTTTTCAGAAGTGTTGCATGCTAGCACACGAAAACACAATTGCAGAAGTAACTCCATTTTGACTAGCTAGGTGTAAATAAGGGCTAAAACAAGACAAAAACACTAGTAATGTTCTGATACAAACAGGATTTTAATGGAAGCCAAGTGTTTTCTGCATAACAGAAGTGTTTCATGGAGGGAAAAAAAAAAAAAAAAGAAAATGTTACGGTTACTGGCAAGAATTTGCACAATACCCTAGTGCTTCAGGAAGCCTAGAATTTTTTTGAAAAGGCCACTGTGTAAGGTATTGTTATAGATATTATAATCCTGGTATGGATCACTTTCCACCATATACAACTCACCTGCATGGACATCCTCAAAGTTGGCACTAAAGTTGTTAGGATTAAACCCAACCCACACAGTACATCTGTAGTCACCTGTACGCATGGAATAGCCCATGACTCTGATGTCTTTCAGCTTTGGTTTGTCAGAGTTCCACTGAGGAGTGTCTGCAGGTCGAGGATACTGGCTGAAGGCAACAGGTTCTTCATTACAACCTCTGTAAGTGTCATCACAACCATCCTTGTCTACTTCCTGCAGCTTCTCTTCAGAGGAATTAAAGTAGCGGACAATGCTTGTACCCTCAGTGCACAGGGCAACAGAAAATGAAGTCTTGGGGCATGCAGGAGGAACCTGCAGGCCAGCAAGTTCGGCCAGAGTTGAAAAAAGAGACACAAGCTCAACCATTTTTTTGCTTTGCCCTAAAGGAAACATCAAAATACAGGTTAAGGAACATGATGTCTCAGACACTGAGAGAACATTTTAATTAATGTGGAGCTTTATTGGAAGTGTTTTTATTGGATTTGTGGGGTAAACAAAGCCAAAGCTATTTAATTAACAGGTAGCAGTTAGCTCTGGGAATACTAATCTATGCATTTATATAATATTTTAAGATAAGATTTTGTCACCTCTATTTCTCAGTTGGCAAACTGTTCAAGGCGCTGATATTCATTCCTTCGAAAAAGAGCTCATCAGAAAGACAAAGGAAATTCCAGTGTCTACCATTTAATACAAGGTTACCTCCATGGAAGCGGTTTCTGAGGTCACCATTTTAGGCAGAGATGCTGCACAGAGACTTTTACTAATCACTGGTGGAAAAAACTGCCACAACCATTATAAAAGGTAGGTCAAGTATCCTTTTAGGCACCTAAGCAACAGAAGTAAATGTCCCGCTGTGTTAATGCAGATATCTAGCTGTTTCCACTAAAGCAGATCTAGCCAAAGCAAAAGTTTGTGTTCAGAGCTGTAACATTCCCTTTACCGTCTTGTCCCTCATCAGTACAAAAGCAGTCAATGACACTGAACCAGGAATGAGTTAGAGGCAACCTTTATTTTGGCCTGAAGTACAAATATATTTTACAAATGATTCCTCCTGCTCTTGCAGTCCTGGACTTAATAGTAATGCCATCACATGTTACCCTGCATCGCTGCTCTGCCCTGAGCTCTAGCACAATTTCCACAATAGGGAAAAAGTCTGGCAGTTTTGTTCCTAAGAAAAGTCCAGTCTGACGACATGCATGTTAAGGCAAGAGAAATCATTTTGTTTAAACCACATAAACGTATGGCTGGAAAGGATGTTAACAGACCATCTAATTATCTGAATTAGCCTTCAACTGATAAAACATCATGAATGTTTAAACCTGTCTTAGAGGAAACCTTTTCCAGAAGCAAGATTTGTCTTGCATTAGCTGGGAATTAAACCCCAGTTGCTTGTATGAAGTATCATTAAGTCACCACTCACCTCTTTATCCACTGCAAATACAAACATTAAGTACTGAAAACTTACCTTGAAGTACCAAGTCTGAAACATGGCTAAACGGGTCAAGGTAGGGGAAGACTTTCTCTCCTTGGCTAGCAGAGGAAGAGGTCATTCCTGGTACATAAAACATCAGCGGCACACGGGTAGCAACATCAAAATTGCTGTATTTTGCCCATTCACCATGTTCTCCCAGGGACCATCCTGGATGACAGAAAGCATAATTTAGAGTAGATACAGTCTGTAATTTAGCTGTCATTTCCTTTTCACAGCAAAACTGACTCTGGCTGTTGAGGTCACTAGACTATTGCCAAGGTTGTGCCAACTGCTAAGTAACAATCCATGTTTAAATATGGTAAGATATATCTCTAATGTGAAAATTGTTTCAACAAACACCTAAATCTTGCCACTTGCTACCCTATAGCAAGGTAAGTTACACCTTTCCCTATTTCTCATAGTCTAGATAAAAATCAAGAAATCAGTATTAAAGCAGCATAAAAGAAGAACCAGAGTGTGTCACCATGCCCACAGAAGTCTCAAGATCAGTTCCACAAAGCAGTTTTTTGAGCTTTACACAGCTGCTAACTCTCCAGGACCCAGTTATGTTGTAACTGAGCATCCCTTGGAGCTAAGGCTGCTCTCTGTGCCAGACCTACATCAGGATGCTATCCCTGAGGAAACAAAAGCAACATCAGAACATCTTAACTCTCCTCTTCGTCCCAGAGGAGACGCTAACATGACATCCTTCTGGAGCTGGTTTATTGTCAGCTTCACTTTGGAGGAAGGCAAAGCTGCTCTCTAAAAGCTACGTTAATGCTCAGTATTTTGAGTTAGATTTCCAAGGGATCACTTCGATAGCCATAGTAGAGGATGCACCAATGGCTTACAATTAAACAAGGCAATGAAGAGAGGTGCAATTCAGTCTACAACAGGAGGGAGGAAAAAAAAAAAAAAAAAACCACACCTAAGACCTAGTGGCAAGTCAAAAGAGATGTCTAGAGCAATTTTAGTACCCAAAGTATTAATCCTATTACTCTACAACGCACCAATGGCTTGTTTAAACCAACTCACTGACAGAAGTCATCCCAAATAACGAAAGCAACTTTAATTTGGTTCAATTAAGTCACATTAAACCCAAACTAGATTCTATCATTAAGAATACAGTAATTTTAATTTAGGGTTTTTTTCATTTTCAAAGTGACTGAATAAAGGATTCTCTAAAAAACAAACCAGTGGCTCTGCTGTAGATGACTGCAATCTGTTCTATGCCAGCTTAATCACTCTCAACCTGGGGCTATTTTATTGAATATTAGAGTATTGAAACAAACAGTTAAATGCTTGAGCTATTTGTTCCATAATTCAAACAGGAATTTGACCACCAAGACACACAACATGCAAGACCCAAATTACAAGGGGAGAAGCCATACTGTTACCAGTTTAGATGCTCTGCAAGCAGCAATGACAAGTGCAAGAACACACACTGCAGCAGTTAATGAGAGTGCCTGCCACCCACTGTACCAGATGGCTCACCACAAACTGCGATGGGGGAGCTCTCCGAGCAGCCCTCTCCTCAGCACGAGTCACTCTTTGGGGTGGGAGGTGGGAATACAGCAAGCTCAGCCCTGTGCCCTGGCAGACAGGCTCATCACTCACTAAAACCCTCCACCTGATTAGGGAGAGAGGTGCCTGCAGGGGAACAGAACTTCACAGCCATGGAAGCCCATGTCAGAGCCCATTAATTAGAGCCTGACTAGCCAGATATATGAGTGTTGGTTTTACTGGTGCAAGTTATAAAAGCACACACGTAATTAATATGTCAGCATCAAGTTGCACAGTGAAGTTACTTACACTGTGCTGGAGAAAGAGCTGATTGCTTACCGTGATCAGCAGTAAAGACTATGATGGTGCTGTTTGAGAGCCCTGCATCATCCAGAGCATTCAAGAGCAGGCCAACTTGCACATCCAGGTAAGAAACCGCTGCATAATAGCTCTGGCGAATCTGCCGCTGCAAGTTATTAAAAAAATGACAGACAAAAAGAAAAAAATAAAGCTTTTTGCCACAAGGGCACCCACTGGTCCTCCTGCAAATAAAGGTACCAAAGAATTTTTTCTTGTAAAGCTTTATTTTTAAGTGGCTGTAGCCTGTAGCTGAAGAGTTAAACCAGAAGAGGGGTAGTTAGAAAATTCTAACTATTTCTCACAAGTTCTTTCAAGGAAGATGCTGCAAATCGATCAAATCCATTTCTCTCAATATGCAGCCACATAAGCAGTTGGAAGTCAAGCACAATCTTGCAAAAAGAAGATACACTAAGTGATGGCTTGAAGCAGATATAGATAAGGAAAACAGAAGGGATGTTGGTAGCTCATGCATACACTCCCTTACACAGCCACACCCCCCTCAGTAGCAATGATGGAAAGCAGAAATAACCAAGAACACATATATCATTAGTGGAAGGCTCAACTCTACCTCCTTGTTGCTAGCGTGACTGCCTACAAAGAACAGCTACAGATGTTTATGTACAAAGTTCCATGTTACCTTCATGCAACAGCTTGAAGGGTGGAGAATTGATACTTATCCAAAATATCAGGTACCGAGTCCCCTGGAACATCCTGAAGCAGCAAACTATTTCATTGCATTTCAAACATTTAGGGCAGTTTGACTTCAGTGCACTGTATTGACTGCTTACCTGGAAGTCCTCTGGAAGTGGTCCATAGGGGAAACTAACATTTAATGCCTTCACATCGTCCCTCTGTCTGATATCCATCCACGGGTTGTATGCCACAGAAGGTAGCCTCTTGGGCACCCAGGGATCAGGAGCTAATGTGATGTTTTCCAAGGGGTACAGTTTGAGAAATTCCTTTAGAATAAAACACATAAAAAGTCTCACTTCTAAGGCCTATGGTAAACATTGGTGTTGTAAAGCAGCAAGCACTTTTCCTTTCACGACCCTTTAATTTTCTTGCTTTTTAAAGATGTCCCCATCCCCTAAGTGTTAAAGATAGCAATGCTATATTAGTCAGACCCACACAATTTTTGAAAAACACCAAGTCAGTAAGCAATGCTGTACAGCAGTAAATCATAGAATGAAGTTATATATTAAGAAGCCACATAAAAATCTATCAGTGCTTCCTTTGAAAACAGTAGGAGTTTTGCCTTTGACTAACAGTAAAGGAAGAGCAAGATCTTGCTAAGGCCTCATTATGTCATACTCCATCAAGCTGAACATCTCCATGCAAAAGCAGTCACCGTTATGGTGGAAGCAGTCTGCTTTTGTTTGACTGGGCACAACTCTCTAAGTATTTTTAAATGCAACACAAATAGTTGCTAAAATTACACTGAATCAAGCCTTGCTGCTTGCTTTCCAGAAACGATAATAATTAAATGAAAATAATTAGAAGCAGGTTTGAAAAAGTAACTTAGATAAGTTCCTTTCCCACAGGTGCAGTGTTCCTTACCTGTGGGTACCTTAATGGGATATGTGGTTTGTGGTAACCAACAGCCAAGAAGAATTTCTGGTTCTTAGTCTTCATGGCCCTCAGTAATCGTATGGCTTCTTCAGTGCTTTGAATATCAGGCAGAGTACCACTGGGCATTTCTGTCACATTCACTGGACACACCAAGTTAGCATGAAGTTGTCCATCTTTTCCTCTACAAGTCTTTAAAAAAGAATTAAGCAACTTAATTTCTGTAATTCTTCTTCTGTAACTTAAAAACCAACTAATTTCTTTCTGAGTAATCATCTCCCACAACAACTCATTCTCTCATTCAAACACACAATAAACTCTTCGGTTGGGATACAATAAGACAATTCACAATTACACGGCACCTTTAGTTTTCAAAGAATTTGATTTCTAAGGCAGACAGCTAGCGGGACTGAAGAACACACTGGCAACTTTTGTTTGCAAGGAAAAGCAGAATCCTCTCTGGAAAGGTGGCTAGAGGTTGGAAAGTAGTCATACAGGAAAACACACTTCTATAAAGAATACAATCTCTAACCTATTACCAAGAAATTCAAATTTGGTTACAGTACACGTTCCTTATTGCTCCTTCTGACTACAAGAGCTCATAGAAAGCTACCTAGAAGCTACTACCAACTCATTAGTTTCTGGGCAAATGCCAGCAATCTATGACATCCAATCAGTGGAGAAAGATGAATTAGACTAAACAGTTGCCAAGAAAATATGACCTCAGCATGGTCTTTGGGACAGATGCTAAACAAAGAAAAGCATATTGATACAAATACTGCTGCTGCTGTTAAAACCAGAAACGAGTGGTTTCCCTGCTCTATGTTATAATCTCAAGAAAAACACAGAACATTGACTGGTGCTTGACACAAAGAACTTCATTATATCCAGAAAACCCTTACTTCTTCCTTACGGTGCCACAGATTATCTTTACCTTAGCATTCTCATACTTTTCAGCAGAAGGATGAAAGGGTGGAATGGACCAGCTATACGGGTAGTCATCACTGTAATTGGATGAAACCCCTGAGAAAAGGTACAAAGTAAAGGCATTAGAAATGCTCCAATAGTTCACTAAGCTAGCAAGGGCTCATATACAAATTTAATTTGTTTTTATTAAGTACTCTGGTTACAGAAGCACTTCAAATTTTTTGACAATGCAGTGAGCAAAGAAAGGATATTTAAGAAATAAATATCAAAAGTTTAAGACAGACAATTGCCCCTGAAAAAAAATCTGGTAATGGGAAAGGATACTCAAACTTCTTGAGCAATCTGATTTTAGGGACAAAACAATCAGGATTTGTAACATTGTCATGTACATACCTACTTAGATTTACTATTAGCTGAAAGTCTACAAGTTCACACAAACTCTATACTGAGGTAAAGACTTTCAAGAAAAAAGTCACCAAAGTATTACAGTGTTTTCCAGCTCAGTGTTGTTTTTTCAAACAGTGAACTAATTTCCTAGTTTAACTGGTGGTATTACTCCTGAAACACATAGCCTATTGTGGAACATGAAGCATGTGTACCTGCTCAATAAAGACTGAGATGATGAGGCTGTTCACTAACTTCATCTTCAGGACAAAACGAACTTTCTGATGTGTTTGAGTATGGCAGAAATTTATGTACACAGACAGTATGTGAAAACTTTTGTTAGCTAGGGGTCATGTACTATATTCACTCTGAAGACACTTTAACAAACACCTTAAGAAGCACTTTTTACACAGAAAAACTTCTGAAACACCTCTGAAATACTTTAAGATCTAAAGCCAACACACAACTACTGTCCAACCTGGACCATGATAATGATTCTTGTTGTCTATATATACAGCTAAGAATCACACAGTTCATACCTGCATGCAAAGTCTATTTATGAGAACATATAGTATCTATGTTAAGTACATGACAACCTAAGTGTTACCAGGATGAAAAACTTTTCCCACAGACATGGTCACATATCCATTCTCCTTGAAGTACTGAGGCATCGTCGAGTAGTTTCCTGCATGCACTCTCCAGTAGGAGTAGAAGTCATACAGTCGGGTAGTGTCAGGTCTGCGACCAGTAAGAAATGATACTCTGCTTGGAGCACAAACGGCTTGCTGAGGAAAGAGACAGTTAGAAAGATAATCAGAGTTCAATTAAAGGCAAACAGAACTGTAACATAGCGACTTAGGTGTTGCTGCACGCAAAACACTCAAGAAATGAATAGAAAGAATTAGAAGCTGGAAAAACAGCTTTTTAAAGCAGATTTTGCTGTCAGCAGTGAAACACTTGGGTGGTACTATGCTACTTCTTTTTTCTCACTTTAGTAGAGATAGGAACATACAGAGCAGTTAAGCCTAACTAGTGGTACTGAAGTTACTTTAAAGATCAGTATTTTTTCAAAGTTCTTCCCAAAACTCACTTTGGTGAAACCAGGAAGTATATTGAAGAAATCGAGTATTTTGCAGAGAAATTTCTTAACTGACTTCTCTTACCTGTGCATAAGCATTGCTGAACACAACGCTTTGAGATGCGAGTTGATCAATATTTGGAGATTTTACAATCTTGTCTCCGTAACAGCCCAAAACGGGGCGCAGGTCATCCACAACTACGAGCAGGATGTTCATGCCAGCTGCAACGATGAACAGAATCAGGCTATGTTAATCTCAGCACTACTAAGGGTTGCTTTATGCAGACTAAATGTGTCCTGATTATTTTTTTTTTTAAGAAAACTCTGAAGGGGGAACTGGAATTATTGGGGTGAAATCCTTAAACATAGGACAAAGGTTCCCTTCTCAGCAGGTCCATCCAAAATGACAGCATTTGCCACTTTCCTTTTCAGCTCAGCAGCCAGCTCAGATGGCTATGAAAAGTAGTAAATTTTCAAGTGACATAATTCTGAAAAAACACAAGTATTTCATAGTCCTGCCTTCTTAATTTTACCACCTACAAGCTGTTTTTCAAGTCAGAGACAAAATTCATATTCTGATCCATTATCTAAACCCACTCCAGATAAAATCTTTTTAAAAAGCCACATGAAATCCATGATTCGTTTTTAAACAAGAAAACAAGCAGGAAGCAAAGAGCAGCAGGGAGAAGGGGGCGCAAACGCGGCCGAGGCGCCCGCGGGGACCGGGGGGCGGCAACCGGGGCCGCG